CTAACAGGCGGCTACCCTCCTTTTACTTAGCACCTACGTTCACCAAGAACTTACCAAGGCCACAGGCCGAATGATCAGACCAGGCGCCAAGCCACCTGATCAATTTACAAAACTAATACGACCTGTCCCAACATCATAGCAGGCGTCCGACGGCATCCCTCCGGATGAAATTCGTCGCAGAGAGCAGCTCCCTTTTGGGTGGAACATTGTTCTATAAACTAATTACACGGCACCTATACGACTGTCCCCAAGGGCAACCACGTAGCCGTTTTTGAGACAAGGATAACTCTTATCACTAACCAAACCAGTGGTAGCAGTTGACATCTGAGTCAGATGACCGCCTGTATTACTTGGGATAAATGCAGGGGGTACCTATTGAGTTAATAGCCAACAAACATTGGCGAATCAAGGGGACTAGCCGGCCTACGCCGCCTGGTACCTCTACTTCTCAAACATAAGTGGCGGCGACTGAGTAACTCCAACGTTAACTCATAGTCACTCCTTCAAACTTGGTATGGAACCTAAAAAGTTTGAGTCGTCCGCCTGTTTTAAACAAACAAGGGCACTCAAACCCCTATTCCTACTAGGTAACCTATTGAGTTAATAGCCAACAAACATTGGCAAATCAAGAGGATCAGCCGGCCTCCGTCGTCTGGTACCTCTACTACTCAATCTAGATTGTGACGAAGACTAAGTAACTCTTATGTTAACTTAATAGTCACTCAAACTTAGTATGGAGCCTAAAAGGTATGAGTCGTCCGCCTGTTTTTAACAAACAGGGGCCCTCAACCACTACTCTTGCTAGGTTAACAAATTACGAGTTAAAAGCCAACATTGGCAATAAAGGGAAACAACCGGTACCCGCCGCTTGTTATCCTACTTAATTCCTTGGCGACTAGGTAATACTATTTACTTGGTCGGACCGATTGAATAAATGGCCGACTGATCGCCCATCTTGGAAACAGACAACCAGTCGTCCAGGGGCATAGGCGGACCATCCGTACCTGTCTACAATCGGCCATGCAAAACAGTCGATAGTGTACAATGCAATATCAAATATTCAACACTTAGACAGTCGATATAGGGTAATGCAATATCAAAAAATGATTTCATTAATGAAGATAAAAATATTCAGAACCCCGGCCCCCTGGCCGGGTAAATACAATCAAACGGCACGCAGGCCGTGGAAAGAATACATTAAGCTTAAGAAGGGGGCAGTTCAGTATTAGCAGTTGCCGCCTGGTCAGCACTCTTCTTGCTAGACTCGGCTTCAGCTGCATCCTCTTTTGATGCCTTACCCCCAAGTGGCACAAGCGCCACAACCGGCTCATCCTCAACCAAGGCTTCCTCCAACGCCTCGTCCTCAGCAGCCGCCAGGATCTCTTGATTATATATTTCAGAACACTGGCGGTACGTTTTTTCCCACGAGGCAAAGTCGGCACTGGGGAAGAGGCGGCTCCAGGTCATGCGCTGGATCTGGGAAGAGTCTTCAATCATCTCTCGGACGAGCTCTCTCTTCTCTTGCTCAGCCTTCTCCGTGAGCTCTCTCTTCTCTTGGTCAGCCTTCTCCGAGAGCTCTTTGGTTAGACTCTTCTCCTGGGTCACCAGGCGTTCTTTTACGTTAGCCAAGGATTTTTCCATGGTATCGTAGGAGAGTATCTTTTGGCGGAGAGGTTTAAGCTCGGCCTTGAGGTTGGAGACGGTCGCCTCCAGCTCGCTGTTCCTCTTCTGGGCCGTCTCTAACTGGGCCCGGATAGCGGCGGTAGCCTGCGCCTGATAATAAAGAATATCAATTGTCAGAACTTCATTTTGGGCAATTTGAAACATTGCCTTGTCACAGTTAGAGGCGGCCATAGCTTTTGCAGCCTTTACCTCTTTGTTTTTCCGATCAAGCGGCTTGCGAAGGCCGTTCACTCGGAGCAGGGCCTAAGTAAAAAGGGAACAGACGTCAGTTTCCAAACAAGATAACAGGCGTCCTGGAACTCAAATACAAAAAATGCTAAGTATACCTCAGCAAGGACCCCTGCAATCCCATCAAGGTCAAGGGTGCCGACACCCCTGACCGCCTCCCTTTCAGATGGAGGAACTGCTTTGATCATGGACTTGGCTACCTCTACCAAGTCAGGTTCCTGAGGGCCGGCTGCATCAAGCGTAAAAAAGCAAGTTAGACCTAGTCAAGAAGAAAGCAAGTGAAGGTTTTTACAAGTAATTGTCCATACTTCTAGGCGGCCCCGCCGGAGTTTTAGAAGAAGTGGCCGGCTGCTTTTCAGCCGCCACTGTTTTCCTGGAAGACCCAGGAGAGCTTGCAACAGTCGTCCTCCGGGCCTTGGGGTCCGGCTGTTGCGAGGAAGAAGCTCTTGGAGTGCCCGACTGAAAAAAAAAAAAAAAAAAAAAAAAAAAGAAAAAAAGTTAGTATATGCATAAGACAACAACTCCTAAAAGAGGAAGAGTTTCGAGGCCTACCAAGGGTGCCCCCTTGTTGGGGGAGTCGGTACAGGACTGTTTCATGAGAGAGGCCCGCAACATGGCCGCTGCAGTCTTGGATGCTGTTATTTTGCTCATGGCGTCAGCTGCAAAAAATAAACAGCAAAGTTAGTAAAAATCTCAAGTAAACAAGGCGTGAAAAAAACAGAGTATTTGTCAGGCCGGCTACCTCTAGAGCACCGACTGCTGAGGCCACAGGCGGCCAAAAAGTACTCGTCATAGAGCCACTTAAAGCTCGGGACGCAGTTCAGGGGTACTTGCTCTCGTACCCCTGAAGTAGAGTTCACCCTAGTCTCTACTTTGAAGAGTCCTCTGTCTAGGATCTCTTTTTTAGCCTTTGGGGGAACAGGCGGCATGCTGCGGCCGCCTGCGAGAAGAGGCGGATCCCTATTCCACTTGTTAAAGCGTTTGTTCAGCTCCGTGTCTGAACCCTCGATGATAAGGAAGGTGTTCCGCCAATCCTTCCATTTGTTCGCCTTACCTCTCGTCATGAGGTAGCCCCTGTGACTTGTTAATTGATACCAGCCGGTACCGCCCGACTTAGGGGTCCGGCTGAGATAGTTCATGTGGGCGAAAGCCTCGAAGCTTGGCTCCACCCCGTACATTTCGCACCCGGCCACATAGCCGAGTACGTTTACCCAAGAGTTGGGGGCTAACTGCCATAACCCCAAATCATACCCATCTAAAATCCGCTGAACAGCCGGATGTAATGGGAAGCGCAGTCCAGCTTTGATGGCCGCCACATAGCAGCCAAAGCAGCCGTCATCATAGCTGGTACCAGCCGGCCAGACGACAGTGTCTTCTGGATCCGGCACGAACAGTAAAAACTCCGGGCCCATTCTGTGGTTAGCAATAAAGCTCTCCACTTTGTCTTGCATGGTTGCGATCCGGCCCCGGGGTACCGTGCAGTAGTAGGGGGTGTTTTCCTCTCTGTGAGAGGCGGACGGCTCCGCCCAATTGTCCCCTTTCTCAACTGCATGAGAAAGCCTCGCCTCTTGTAGGCGACTGTTTCTTTCTTCTGAGCCTGGAGAACTGTGGCCAGAAGAGCTGGACTCGGACTCGTCCTCTGACGAGTCCGAAGAGGACGACTCCTCCCCTCTCCCAGAGGGGCCCGCCTCCTCTCCCTTAGAAGGAGCAGGAGGAAAATTAGACGTATCAACGGTAAGATGGGAAGGGACCACCTTGCCCCCTCTCTCAGAACTGTCGGCTTGGCAGCCGCCTCGTTTCAATTCTACATCTGGCGCCTGGTCAGATGTTTCACTAAGGAGCATCCTTTGGGAGGAGCCGTCTGAGTTTGACATCATGACAGTCTTTTTTGTTCTGGCCATCACGTTCTGCATAGACACAGATACAGTCGGACTTTGTATAAAGGGCAAAGATGGGTCCAGAAAAGGGCAGGCGGCACTCCTAGTCCTAGATTCAGCCGTCCCCGGTGACCGGCTGATCACTAACTTAGGTCGTGTCGTGTGCTTCCGTGGTGCCATTTCAAAAAATAAAAAGAAAATTAAGAGTAAGAGAACTGAGTTACCTGAACGAGTGACGGTTGATGAAGTTCTGGAAATCCGGGTCAGTCGGCTTGTCAGAACAGGCGGTAGGCAGAAAAGGTCCGAAATGTCAGAGCAAGTTCAGGGGTCCGAATGTTCTCGCAAAGTTCTCAAATGTGAAAATGACCGAAGTCAGCACTTCCTTATATAGGCAAAGTGAGAAGGCGAAGGGTCGCTTCCAAATTCAAAATTTGGGCGGGAAAATCTCTCGGCCGTTTGCAAGGTGACACCTGTAGCAGGCCGTCGCCTATCACCGTGCGACACCTGTCACAGGCGACACGTGACCAGTCACGTGCCACCTGTGAGGGGCAAATGATTAGGGGATTTTTATCCTCCAATCACAGTCTGACAAGTGGACCAACCAGGTTCCGCCACGTGTCCTTCACGTAGGCCAATAGGAGCCTGCCACGTGTCAATTACAGACTCGTCCTCTGCGGACCAATCGAGACACGCCACGTGTCCACCCATGCCAAATGGGAAAACCGGCCACCAAGGCCCAATCCTGTTTAGAGGCCCGGTCAGCCCTAGGTTTACCCTAAACCTAGAGAGTGGCACGCTTCTCAAGACTATAAATACTCCTCTTAATCCTCATTAAGAGGAGGGAGAAAAAGAGAGAGAAGAAGAGAGAGAACTCTAATAGCACATGGATTGTACTTTAAACACTCTCACCTAGAGAGACTAAACCACTTTAATTTCCGCATTAATTACTCCTTAATCAGGTACTAACTTGACCGTTGGAGGCGGAGCTCTCAGGAGTCTCCGTTATTTTGCAGGTACAGGCGGCCGGTTCCAGTCTCGGTGTTGTAACTCTCCCGCAGGACATCAGAAAACCCCGAAACAGTAAGCCCCGGGTAGGAGCCACCTCCCCACACACTCTCCCATTAATAATGAAAGAGTACTTCACCGTCGACACACACATCATTACGAGATTCACCCATCTGCCATCAAATCCCATAGTAAGCAATAACTTACGCAAAAACCCCCATTCCACTCTATCATAAGCCTTACTCATGTCCAATTTTAGTGCTATCGTACCCTTTCGACCCTTACTCCTTTTCTTCATGGTGTGAAATAATTCCATTGCAATCAGCGCATTATCAGTAATTAATCTCCCCGGAACAAAAGCACTCTGGTTCTCAGAAACAATTCCGGGCAAAATTAATTTTAATCTCATCACAAGGGCCTTCGAAACAAGCTTGTAGAGGACATTACAAAGACTTATGGGTCTAAACTCTGCAGTAGTTTTTGGTTCGTTTACTTTTGGGATCAAGGCAATATTAGTTCTATTTACAAGGTCAAGAGATGAATAACCATGCAAAATGTCACTAACAAAACTAGTTACATCATCACCAACAATATGCCAAAATTTCTGATAAAAAATTGCATGCATACCATCGGGTCCGGGAGCTTTGCAAGGGTGCATTTGATTAAGAGCCGCAAAAATTTCATCCTTCATATAAGGCTTGAGCAAATCGAGGTTTTGTTTAGTAGAAATTGTACTTTGGACATGCTGCAACACTTCATCAATACCCAAATCCGAAGGCATACTCGACCCAAAAATGCCTTGAAAATAATTGGTGACCACCTTCTCAATCTTGTTACCATCTCACTGCCACTCCCCTTCTTCATCAAAAATCCCTTTAATGGTGTTCTTCTTTTTCCTTTGTTAGGCTTTATGATGAAAATAACTCGTGTTTTTATCCCTGTCCCGAATTTCAGCCACTCTAGACCGTATGTACCAGTGCGCTTCTTGCTTCTCGTGGAGGGCATTAAGTTCCTTCTCAAGACGGACACACTCATCACAACTGGCTGGGGAAATCATGGCCTGCTGGGCAGCCTGAAGAGCTGCTTCAATGTCTTCAATTTTGCGCCCAAGATCGTCAAACTTTTCCCTGCTCCAATCCAACAACTTGCTGCCAACTGTTTGAAGCTTCACCACTACATTATCACCAACACCATCAGACCACACCTTGCGCACTGTCTCTTCACATTCTTTGTCTAGAAGCCAAGCTGTCTCAAACATAAATCTTCTTTTATTCTTCTTCTTTCGGGCACCATTATCATCAAACCGAGTCAAAATGGGCGTGTGATCCGAACAATATCGCAGGAGGTGTTCCAAATAAACCCCGGGGTAGAGATTAAGCCATGAAGGAGAGGCAACAAAACGATCGAGCCTTTCCCTAATTTTAGTGGCAGCATCATCCCCCTTCTCCCAAGTCCACCATTGTCCCTGAAAACCAAGGTCTCGAAGCTCGCACGTATCCATGACTTCACGAAAACTAACCATCTCCCTTCTATCACGATCCGAACCCCCCTCCTTCTCATCATACGTTAATATTTCATTGAAGTCTCCACCAAAAATAATTGGCAAAGAAATCCCCTCACATAGGTGTTGGATGAGCTCCCAAGTACGATGTTTATTCGAAGAGTCCGGCCACCCATATAACCCCACAAACCTCCATTTCACCCCACCCTTTGTAACATCCCCACATATATGGTTATGCAAAAAGGAAACGAGGGAAAAATCCACCTTATCAGCATTCCAATACAAGCAAATACCACCCGACTTTCCTCTACTCGAAACACCAAAAGCATTCGAATAGCCAATTCTATCCTTCACACCTTCCGAAACCAACTTACTGATCATAGTCTCCGAAATGAAAACCATGTCAGGGGAATAAAGATTGCTCCACTTACGGAGCCTGCGAACTGACCAAGGGTTGCCCATCCCTCGGCAGTTCCAACATAAGAGACTCATTGGACCTTGCGGGGTTGGTCCCTGCTAACCTCCGCCATTATATCATCTTGGTAATCAAAGCCCATCTTCGAATGCTTCACATCATTAGCAACCCCATCTTCTAAAGCATCTTGCTGCAAGCTAACTCCCCTTTTCCCCCCCAACTCCACTTTACAACTCCCCCCTGGTGTCCCCACTCCAACTCTGGCAATCCTCTTAAAAGCTCTCATTCCACTAGACTTCCCAGTTGGCTCTGAGACTTCTGGAGTGACAACACTAAGACCACGGTCCTGCACATTATTATCTCCTCCCTCCTTTATCAGAGCAGCACCTACACTCTCCGCCTCCACTTCATTAATTACAGCAAGCTCTCCCTTATCTCAAGCACAAGTAGACAGCTTCTCACTTGGTTGTTCAATCTCTTGAGACTCGGGTCAGCTTCCTTGGTTACAAATAACTGACGTTTTCCTTTCGTAACTAACTCCAACTCCTCAGTCTCCTTCGCCCTTCCCTTCCTAGGAGAGGCACGAAGGAAAAGTCCCCAGCCCAACTTCTTCTCTTTCTCTTCATCAGAAACAGAAAGACAATCTTTCTCAGAGTGGCCAATAACACCACAAGCAAAGCAAAAATATGGCAGGCGCTCATACTTAAAGTCCACTTTTAATTCATTCCCTCCCCTGTCTCGAATTTTCTGGTATCTCCGCAAAGGTTTGTTCACATCAACAAAAATTCAAACTCTCTTATATCTGTTCAGTCCAAGTGCATCCTCCTCTATTTCAATAAAATCCCCTAAACCTGTCACCAAGGCCTTGACATATTCATCCGATCGACAATTAAAAGGTAAATTACTCACCCTCACCCAAAAAGGAGTGAATTGCAAATTCACTTGATTAGGTTGTTCATCTCCCCTCACCTCATTCAAAACCAGCAAATGGTTCTCCCAACACCATGGTCTCCCTTTAAAGATTTTTTCTTTGTCACGCCAATAGAAGAATTGGAATGCATATAGGTTAGGGCTTAAAGTTCTAATAATTAATCCCTCAGATGGAGCCCAGACCTTCAGCATTGTTCGTTTGAAAGCCTCGACATTGTAGGGACGAGCAGTACACAACCTCCCTACTAACAACAATTCAAGGTTTTCATCTGTCTTCGGCCCTTCAATATCTCCCAGATTAATCACGCTGCTATAATCCTCGTCCAATCGAAGGGACGAGCACTTTTCAATCAATTCCTCTGCCATGGATCCAGAGTCCAATCGTTCGAGACGAAGAACGACCTTTTTCGCAAGGGAGCAAACCCTATCTTTCGAGGGAGTTTTTAGTACTCGTATTTTCTATTAACTTTTTAATCACTTAACAATATTTCAAATGAGAAAAAAGAAAAAGGGGGCATATATAGGTAAATAGAATTATAAGATGATTAAGTAATACTCATTCTAATGACAATTAATTAGCTTTTATTTTTTATTTTGTTGAAATATTAAAAATATTCCTTTGTAATTTTGACAACGAGTCTTTTTAGAGTTTATTTATTTATTTATTATTATTATTTTAATATATATTCTAAGTGAAACACTATTATTTATGAATTATGATGGTGCTAGAGCACTTGTAATGTGTGGAATTTTGCGTTAAGGCATCATTCTCGATGTTTTCGGCGCGAATACATATGCAAACTTGTAATAGACGATCCAACACATACTTATATAGTTATGTATGTTAAATATCAAATATCAAATGATATAATAACTAATTCATTAAAATAATGCTTCTTTATATGTTGACCATAAAATGATATGAGTACACTCTTAAAATGCATTTATAATTAACATACACAATAACAATATCATCTAACATACACATAACATAATTATATAGATACACCTTATAATGTTCCCTATGAAAATGAAGAAATAGTTGTCGTATCCATTATTAATCAATCATGATGATGCCTTAGACGTGGCTGTTGGTTGGACTTTCTTGACTGTCCAAAACACTAACTAGCCAAAAATCCAAACATTATTCTCCTTATCCTTAGATAAAACTTCCACTTTACCCTTAATCACCCCCTAATTAAATCATAATCAAATCTTAATTAAAATATTCTCTCTTTCATGACAACTTGTAACTTTTCCTCCCAAAACATGCACCCCACGTTCTTAACATCCTTTCTTTTCAAAAATAGTAAACTATCACAAAAACAATCATCCTACCAATTCTTTGCCAACCTAAACTATGCTTGATTTTTCTCTTCCCTCTTAACAATTTTTTTTCTTTTTTGTTACAATTTTTTTAAAAAAATTAAAAAAAAATAAAAATAAACAAAAGTCAAATAAAGATTTCTTCTTCATCACAAACTTTTCTTCCTCTCTTTTTCTCCCCTTATTCTTATTATACTTCATGACACAAAAACATCCTTGTTGTTGCCATTAACAAAAATTTCTTCATTTTTGTGTCATGCAAAATTTTTTGTTCCAACCACAACCACATCCATTCCATGATAGTTAACACAAATTTAGCTAGGAAGGAAATGGTGCACGCGTCGTTGGAGCAAGAACAAGAGAATTACAAGGCAAGGCTTAACCAAATTCGTGGAATGAATAGAGAAAGTGTTGGGAATAATAGCATGAGGCGCGGCCATTCACAAAGTATGATCCTAGAGAGCTCGAGCGCAGAGGACTTGGTTGAGGATCCAAGGGGTACCAAAAGTTATGCTTCTAAGGTAGAACAACCTTTGTTGATTAGCCATAGGATTGGTTCTAGCTTAGAGAAGGATCAAGGTCCTGGTCCGCGATCAAGGTTGACCGCGTATGGTGGAGGTGATAGAGATGGCCTTCAGAAAGGTATGAACACAATTCATAACATTTTCAATATATTGTTCATGTACAATCATTAGATGATTTTATTATGGTTTTCGATGATATATTTAATATAGTATTACCATGTTATAGGTGCATTGTAATTATTTAACGATTTTGGTTTATGGTTTTAGATATGGAAATGATGAAGGAGAGGTTTGCCAAGTTGCTCCTCGGCGAAGATATGTCTGGTGGAGGAAAGGGTGTGTCCTCGGCTTTGGCCTTGTCCAACGCCGTCACCAATTTAGCAGGTAAGGCCTATAACAACCCGAAAATATATCTGTTTTTGGGTTTTTTTTTTTTTTTTTTTTTTTTTTTTTTCCAACAGAGGTCTATAATTGGAATAATATCAGATTGTTTATATTGTATACATGTGTATATGATTATAATTGCTCAAGTGTGCATTTTGATTCAATAGAATAGTAAATTTTGTTAGAATTGCATTATAACCTTCAAACATAGGCTAATGTCTAAGGTTGATGTGTAATTTATGTTAATCCATAATTATCTACAACAATATACAAATACATAGAGTACATTTCACGAACCATAGCGATGATTTGAGCAATAGCACGGGCGTGCAAGGCCTGCAGGACAATTTCTTGAGGCCACCATCTGCCCTGCATCATATTGAGAAAGTAATATTAGAATGGTCAATAAATTTGTTTCATGATTAACTAACACAAAGTAGTACCTTGTGCATTATAATGCAGCATCTGTGTTTGGAGAACAGAGGAAACTAGAGCCAATGGCCCCGGAAAACAGGTCTAGATGGAAGAAGGAAATCGATTGGCTGTTATCTGTTACTGATCATATAGTTGAATTTGTTCCTTCTCAACAAAAATCCGCGAATGGAACTAATATGGAGGCAAGTTTCTTCTTATCTAACACCTCATTTTGTCAAATTTGTTCATACTTTATTACAAGTTGGACTAATTGTATTATCATATCTTTGTAACAGATCATGATAACAAAACAAAGAACGGATATCCAAATGAATATCCCTGCCCTTCGAAAATTTGATGCCATGCTAATTGTAAGTTTTCAAATTAGGCTAAATTCGTATGTTATCTTATCATGTAGTACACTATTGTACATGTAAGTAATTCGGTTTTCAAAACAGAATTTGAATTGCTTGTATGTATCATGAATATAGGACTGTCTAGACAATTTCAAGGACCAAAACGAATTCTATTACATAGCTAAAGATGCTGATGATTCAGAGAAAGGGTCTAAAAGAGATGATAAATGGTGGTTACCTACAGTCAAAGTTCCTACAAATGGCCTATCTGAAGTCACCAAGAAATGGCTGCAGTTTCAGAAGGATTCTGTCAACCAAGTGCTTAAGGCCGCGATGGCTATCAATGCACAAGTCTTATCAGAAATGGAAATCCCCGAAAACTACATTGAATCCCTGCCTAAGGTTTTAATACTAAAGAACATAATTCTTTGTTTTACAAATACAAGTTTCCTAGATTTTTGATGATAAAAATGTCGCGTTTTCTTGGTAGAATGGAAGAGCTAGCCTTGGAGATGCACTATACAAAAGCATAACAGTTGAATATTTGATCCTGAGCAATTTTTTACAATAATGGACTTATCATCCGAGCACAAAATTCTCGATCTCAAGAACAGAATTGAGGCTTCAGTAGTGATTTGGAGACGAAAAATGACCAACAAAGATGCCAAGTCTCCTTGGGGTTCAGCCGTGAGTAAAGGTGGGCACGGGCCGTACCGGCACGCGGACGGCACGGGCCCGACATGACGCCAGCACGGCCCGGCATGGCACGACCACCGGCACGGCACGACACGGCGGCCCACCTGTGGGCCGTGGGCCGTACCGTGAACAAAAAAATAGTTTTGGCACGGGCACGGCACGCGGCACGATGGGCGGCACGTGGGCCGGCACGCCGGCACGGCACGTGGCACGGCCGGGCACGGCACGAGCCCGCCATATAATAAAATAATTTAATTATTTTGTATTATTAAATTATCGTACCTGCTACCGTCATATAATAAAATAAGTTATTCTTCAATTTTTTGTGTTTTCGGATTATCGCACTCGTATTTTTTTTTATTATATGCATTGTTGTTTTTTGCTAAATTAATAAAATTGTTTTTATTTTTTTATATAAACTTAAACATAATTATTAATTAGATAAATAATTTATATAACCTAAATTAAAATAAAGTTGTTCAAAAAATATAAACAAATTATATTAACATTAACATAAACATAAATTAATCACATATATTAAGTTGTACTAAAAAATATATATATATCGTTTAATTCTTTTTTTTTCATTTATTAAAAAAAAATAAATAAAAATAAAAAGGGTGGCACGATTTGGCCCGCGGCCCGGCACGGCACGGCCCGCAAGGCACGTGGGTCGTGCCGTGCCGTGGGCTGGGGTGTGCCAATTTCAGGCACGGCACGACCCGCCGCGGAGCCGGCACGGCACGACCCCCACCACGGCACGGCTAGGCACGGCCCGCGGCGACACGGCACGGCCCGTTGCCCATGTTTAGCCTTGAGTATAGAGAAGAGGGAACTATTTGAAGAGAGGGCGGAAACCATCTTGATTATCATCAAGCAACGATTCCCTGGAATATCTCAATCTCAACTCGGTATTAGCAAGATTCAATTTAACAAGGTAAAATTACATGCTAATCAAGGCCTCCTTTCATGTCATTTTTAGCTTTAATCAGCTGGTCAGCTCTTATCTGAACTTATTTTTTAGACGACTTATTAAGTATGAAGTCTAAATTAGGGGAGCTAGGTTTCAGATAAGTCGAAACAAGAAACCTAAACAAGTTTGTGTAATGTGGTTATTTTATGGCTTTTGCAGGATATTGGTCATGCACTTCTAGAAAGCTACTCAAGAATCCTCGAGAGTTTAGCACACACAGTCTTATCGCGAATAGAAGATGTTCTGTATGCAGACTCTCTTGCTCAAAACCCATCACTCGCGCAAAAGAAGAGGAATCCCCTAGCAGACATCAAGATCACTTCAACAAAGTTCCCAAATGCAGATGAAGAAATAGAGAGACTAAATGCTGTAGGAACACCGCCATCTATGACACTCTCAGACTTCATGGGCTGGACTATGGACAACAATGAAGGAGACTTGAAAGCAAAGGAAGGAGCAGGAAATGAGGACATAAAAGATATAAGTGACTTAAAAGTTGGAAAACTCGCGAACATTGCATTGCCTAAGAAGGTATCCTACCTAGAGAATTTGGGTGGCTTAAGAAGTCCAACTGCTCGACATTGACAAGAGACAGTTAGATTACATTCCGAAATGATTGTAACTTCGATCTTGAGAGATATAATGGAGAGAGCGAGAGAGAAAGCACTTGTTAACAGAGCTTATAGAGATATATATATGCTCAAACCACATGTAACTAATTATAGCTAAGCTAGTTTCCTCAACAGTTTTAACTTCCCTTGTTTTTTGTGGTTGGGGAAGCTAATGCATTGGGTTTGACAGCAAGCAAATTGTTCTTTCTTCGGCGTATAAGTACTGATAATGATGCATGTACACAGAATCTTTAGACATAATCAACTAATTCAGATGTTAAGTTGTTGATCATTACTTCATTTGTCATTAAAATTTATAATTCTTAGTTTTAAAACATGATTACTAGCACATGTCCAATATAGGCGAATCCAGGATTTTGAAGACAGGGTGTCGATATTATGACTACCAAAAGTAAAACAAATTAAACTCGTGCTTCTAATGGTGTCTAGGCTTACATTTTCCAATATCCGAGAAATCATCTTTAAATTCACATTTAAGTCCCTTGCAACATTTAACACCCGTGAAGTCACCACAAAATTGGTCCTTTTTCTTACACAATTTCCCTTTCTTACAAACTCCACCAGCATGCTGAAAATCACCTAGCAGTATGCAATGTAGTCCTTTGCAACACTTGTATCCGGCAAGGCCTCCACAAAACTCGTTCTTCTTCTTACATTTCGGGTTTTTTGGTATACATTTTCCTATCGCGTTTTTGAAATCATCTGTGCGTACACACTTCAATTTTTTGCAACATTTTGCTTCTGTAATGCCTCCACAAAAGTCGTACGCCTTCTTACATTTTGTACTTTTCGGTATACACTTTCCGATTTCATCGTCCGGAGAATCATCTTTAGTAATGCACTTTAGTCCTTTGCAACATTTTTTTCCGGTATCACCTCCACATAAGTCGTATGCTTGCTTACATTTCTTTGATTTAGCGGTAACTATAAGATTTAAGTTGTATAAGAGAGGAATTGAACTAGTTAAATATAAAGTTTGTGAAATATTAATCACTTGAAAAAAAAAAATTGTTTTTAAATATGAAATTTCTACATTAGATAATGAAAGTTGAAACGATAATGCAATTCAGATCATCTGAAATATGAAGCAAAATCCTTATTGATGCATGTAAAACATGAATATTAATTTTGAACAATGTTGGACAACAGAGAATAATCATTTCAAGAAAGAAACATGTTACATGTACGTGTTATTTTTTGTTATATTCACTTTAAGTTAATTCATACTTCCTCCATTTTCTTTTACTTGCAACACTTCCCTAAAAAGGAAATGTCACAATACTTGCAACACACTATAAAAGGAAAGTTACTTTAGGGAATACTATATCCCTTATTTAAAGCACATGACCCACTAAATTACACTCCTAATTTAACAACCACTCATCCTATTTTAAAGTTTATTATATCATGTAAACCTCACCTTCCTTAATTACCGCGCTAAAAGGTGTGTTGCATCAAAAAGAAAACGGAGGAAGTATTTGATAAACCTAGCTAGTCTCTATAGTATTATCTCACAATATTACACATTTGTCACTTTAAGATAATTTATCGAGCAGGTGCTTATTGCCCTAGAGGGGGGGGGGGTTTACCTGATATGGTTTGGAAAGCCACTAGCATAATAGTGGTGATGAAAATTGTAGTGAGAGCTCTAGCCATTTGCAAATTATGATCGTCAGTGATCGATATCAAGGCAAAGTATGAGCAGGGTAGAATCAAAGACTTGACTACTATTATTATAAATAAGAGTTAATCATGAATTTTGTTAAGTTTGTATATATGCATAAAATCAAACTATATAATTGGTGCAAATAAAATTACTAAAAAGATTAAAACTATATATATATAGAGGGAGTAATAAGTTTTGACTTAATGAGTAGTAAGCTATTGCTTTGTTGATGTCTAACAATTTCATCATCTGGCGGTCACGCTCTTTATTTTGCAGTTCATCCGCTTCACAAATTTGTTACTTTGCTATTCTTTTAATTCTCTTAACATTGTATTGTGAGTCAGGTATTAGATATAAGTTGTATAATTAATAGTAGTAATAGTGGTAGATGTATATAAGTTGTATAATTTGGCTGTTACTTATTGGCTAATTTGCAATAGCCTCGGCTTGCTTACAATAATCACTCATAATAGGAAGTTTAGGGCTTGTTTGACATAGTTTTTTATTTTCAGTTTTTTGTTTTTTTGAAAAAAAAAAACAAAAAAAGGAAACAAGAAAAAGGTGTTTCTACTTTTCTGTTGACAGTTTTCAATATTATCATGATTTTAGTGGGTTTGTCTAATTTTTGTTTTATTATATGACATATATCATATGAGTTTGAAAATCAAAAAACAGAAAATCACGACGATGCCAAACGAAGCCTTAACATTAAGTTTTTATCTAAGAGTAGCGCGTTACACGTACAAATCTACTTATTAATGCACAAGTATTATTAATTCATGATCAATTGGTTTTTCTTTGTTTGATTTAATTTTTCCAGGTGAAGGCATAGTGTAATTAACTTTTGTGTCATTTTAAGTGTATTAGCTTAGGTTTCAAAAAAAAGTGTTTTGTTATTATAAGATACATTTTATATTATTATGAGTTAACTCGAATAAACTCTAAGCTAAATGACACAACACGACTAACCATTTTTAATATTATCGTACAAATTACGTGACCCGACTCAATCAAACTAAACATTCGATTTAGCAACTATAATGAGTCGGAATCTTGGATGTATAGCCTGTGCTTAACTCATGCACATTACAGTAATTATGAGGGAAAACACAATCGAAAAGCAAAGTTTATGGACCCAGAAACTGCTTATAAAGAAAAAGAAACAAATTACTTAATACTAAATTTTATTACAATCAATTAACTCAGCAATGTTCTTGACAAATTTGATACAATCAAGAATCAACTAACTTTATTACATTCAACTAACTGAGCAAAGTTCTTGACAAATTTGTAACAATTAACTAACTCAGCAATGTTCTTGACACAAATCAAACACTTACAACTGATGAAAATCAATCAACAAACACAAACTTCTGTCTGCTGACTAACACACACACACACTACTAAAATGCATGATTAGAAACCTCAGCATCAACCTAAAAACTGAGTGTAATCATACTTATTGACACCTAACATACTAAAACACCTAGAATTAAAGACTGATTATAATCTGTAGTCTGACATAAAAGAACTGATACCTAGGAAAAGTTCAGTATTGTACTAAAGAATCAAATTGAGCCTAGACCATGATCACAAGTTCTTGCGTATGATCGACGACATTTTTGACAGCTTCTGACGCCAAACAGGCTTGCTTCTTCCTCTGCCTCCTCCCTGCATCATTCCGCGGAGCCTCTCATCTGCATCAGCTATACCTTCACTGCTCAACCCTGTTCGTATGCCTTCAAAATTAGCCTCCGAGTGAATCAAAGGGTCTCTCAACAGATCAGATGCTTCAGATCTGTCATGTGGAAGGTTCAGACAGCAGTCAATGAAATGCCTAATCTGAGGATCTGTCACTTTCTCAAACGCAGCAGGCCTTTCACCTCTCTGAACACACGACTTAACTTCAGCGCGATTTCTGCACTCGCTGTAAATCTTGTCTCTACTCATCATCTGAATCACACACATCCCGAAAGAATACATGTCAGCCCGCTGATCATAGTCCAACATAAAAACCTCTGGTGCCGTGTACTCTAGTGCACCAGGATAGTCCTGTAAATCAGCACCCTCTTCAAGCCTTATCGCGGCACCAAACTCTCCTAGCTTAACCTCGCCTGTATTCCCATTAATAAAGATGTTCTCCAGGCTAACATCACGGTGTATAATCGGCGGGGTTTGACTGTGAAGATAGTCCAATGCTAAAAGAATCTGTTTACACCATCTCCTGATTGTTTGCCTATTACCAACAAGATCGTATTTCAGACTGTAATCCCTCAAATTCTCTGAAGAAAAAGCCTCAGTAATCATATGAACAGTCTTCAGATTTTCATCAGGCCAAAAATGGAAACATTTTACTATATTTTCATGTTGTAAAGACTGTAACAAGTTAGGCTCAATACAGTAATCTTTGAATTTCTTCTTCTTCTTGACTTCTTCTTCTGTTGAAAGTCCTAAGACAATCTTACACCAGTAGATTTGTACACCAGTATCTGTATCAATTCCATCATAGACTAATTTCATGGGGTGGGGGTGTGATACTGTCATGTGGTACCTTTCGTATCGCCCCTCGGAATCTGCCTCCGCTACACCGCGTCGTAGCATTATCGCTTGTGAACTCGAACCCGAACCCGACATGACTGTGTACTGATGAAGGAGTGATTAACAGAAGAAGGGAAGAAAACAGAACAGAAACAGAGAGATTTCTGAGGATTTTTGGTGATGAAAGTAGAATTTCTGAAAATGTTGCTGTAATAATGAAGAGTGCTTGAAAAAGGGTTGAGGAATGATTTGATTTATAAGGGTGGGTTGATATTTAAAAGGGTAGTTTGGTTGTTACAGAATCAAAATTTTATCCAAACGAATTTATCTTCTTTGGTCTGAGAGTTTGTTATGGCAGTTAGTTAAATCGGTTATGATCAAGAAATGAAAAAACCCTTTCTTGATTTCTTTTTTTTTTTTTTTAAAAAAAAAATATATATATTTAAGGAACCCTTTCTTGATTTTTATTTAACAAACATTTTTTTTCCCTTTAATAAAAATAGGGAGTTGGCTACTTTAACTAGTTTGATTTGTAACAAGAAAGAAGCCGGTTATGTCAGTAATTTAAAACAAAACAAAGGAGCATTTCTGTAATAAAAAATAAATAAATAAAACAAAATTAAGTTTTAAATAAAAAAAGTATGCAAAAGAAAAAACAGTGTAATGTAGAGATAGGATTCGTAGTATTGTACTAGCTATAATTAAGTATATAAGGAATTGCTTAAAAATATTTTAAAATAAGGATTTACATTGTAAGATTACTAATTCACTACATCAATAGTTCAACTAGTTTTTTGACTAGTTGACAGTTCATACATCAATAGTTCCACTAGTTAACTTCATTAGCTATACTCAAATCGATTATTTTTATGCTATTGTGTATGAACTGTTATGGAATAAGTGTATGGCCTGGTAAATCTCTTGTACTTTTGTTCATTTTTAAAGCTTTGCTCCGTACACAATTGAGAAAATCTACATGGATTGAACTCTTAAATTTCTCATTTTTCACTCTCCGTATATAATTTTGAGATGAATGTACATTAATTTATGGAAAATTTGCAAATTACCACCCAAAAATAGGTCCATTTTCTAAATAACCACCCATTAAAAATTTTATTTTTAATTACCACCCACTAAAATATTTAATTACGCAGATTACCACCTTTTTCAATTTTCCGTTTGATTTCAGGTGTGTGGGGCCCATATAATGGCTATTAACGGCTAGTTGATGTTTCCAAAATGAATTCCCCCCAATTTTTTCTTTTAAAACATATCTCCCACCCCTTTTTGGGATTTATGCTCCAAATTCTCCCCAATTTACATGAATTTCACCCCCGGTAATTGCTGAAGCTTCGCAAGAAATTTCAGAGGCTAATTCGAATCAGGTAAAGTATTTCAATCTTTAAATTTAGGGTTCTTATTATGCTTAAATTGGGGAAGACTGATTGAATAGTTGATTAGGGTTTATATTTTCGCAAATTAGGATTCTTATTGTATTTGAATTGGGGGAAATTGGGTATTTAGTTAATTAGGGTTCATGTTCTTTGCCCAATTGTGTTTTTCTCTATGAATTGGGAGTTCTTACCTCTGATGTCGCCATTGACAGCAAGCAATGTCAGGTGATGAACTCAGCACGTGGTCCCCAGTAAAACTCCCTAAAGATGGCGACTTTCACAAAGAACCTTCACGCAAAACCCCAATTACAAAGTGCAAGTTTTATAAGAACTGAAACTAATTTAGGGTTTAATCTCCAATTTTGGATCCTAATCTGAAGAGTGGGTAAGAATGTATGGAGATGGGCGAATTTGCAGAGAGAATGGAATGAGAGAATTGACAGAAGAGAAGTCTTCAGTAGCATGCAATAGTGAAGTCGACAAAAAAGAAAAAAAAATAAGGAGGGAAGTAACGATTGTGGGCCCCACACACCTGAAATCAAACGGAAAATTGAAAAAGGTGGTAATCTGCGTAATGAAATATTTTAGTGGGTGGTAATTTAAAATAAATTTTTTAATGGGTGGTTATTTAGAAAATGGACCTATTTTTGAGTGGTAATTTGTAAATTTTCCTTAATTTATTATAAGCCAATTCTACTTGGTATTAATCTACTTATATGTCACTATATACACTATAAGATCTTCATATGAAAATAAACGTCACTATAACTAATTAAAAACTTCAATATTACTATAATAAAGCTAGAGGTTATCTATAATTTTATTTTTTAAAAAAAAAAAAATTAAAAACCCTTATACTTGTATTAGGTTATGTGTAAGTTTGTTACAACTTATTTTTACTATAACACTTATTTATACTTAGATCCTTGGTGGTTTTTTTTTCTTTCTCAAAAAAAAAAAAAAAAAAAAAAAAAAAAAAAAAAAATCACTTAAAGAGAGGTAAACTTTTACTGTACATATACATCTATTTACGCTTTGTCTAATGTAAGAAAAAAGTTACACTACTTTGTATACTTGTATTAAATTTATTTGTTTTGTCTCGACATGCAATTTTAATATATACTAGGTTAGATTCCGTGCCATGCACGATTTTTCAACCTTTGTCACGGAGTATCAATTTAATTTTATTTTTTTTTAAATCTCAAATCAAGGTACTTAAAAAATATTTTTTTTTTATTTTTTTTTAATACATACTATATTGCTTTCTTCTATTTATTTCGAACCTTGATGACATTTTTTTTCCCCAAATATGATAATTTTTCATTCACCAACTATGTTAAGTTGAAAAATATATATTCATGATTTTTTTTTAAAAAACTAAATATATATATAAATAATCATTATACATTTAAGTTTATAATAAATACTGTATATTATTATACGATTTTTTTTTTCTAAATTTTGGAAGTAAATATTTTGCGTACATTTTTTATCAATTTTTTAATTTTTTTTTTGTTAAAAAAATATACTAAGGACACACCAGAAGATGACACGAGTCGTTGCTGGTGTGTCTTTTAGTATATTGTTATTGACTAACGTATTATATAGATGATAATACAAAAAAAAAATTGTATCTTATTTTATTATTTGAATATTATGATTTGATTTTACATGTTAAATATTTTATTTTTGCCGTTTTTTTATATGAAATATGTGACAATATTATGTTTGACTAATTTATGTAAATCATTATTTATATAGATGCTTGTATCATGTTATCATAATATTTATAGACTTTACAAATAAGATATGAAATTGCATGTTACTAGTTAAGGTATTAGTAATTAAGGAAGTATATATATATACGATATCACGATGTTACCATAATATTACTAATAGAATTAAGGATGTAAACTTTTAACATAATTAAGAAATATGTAACTATAAGAAGAGGCATAGTAGTTTACTAATTAAGGAAGTATATTTATGCACGGGTGCTATGCTACCATAATATTACTAACAAAATCATGCTCTGACCATTTACCATTATTATCACTATGCTAGACTTTACTAATTAAATGTGATATTACATTTTTTTTTCCATAATATTTTATATAGTCATTTAGAATAACATACTTAAAATATTCTTGTTTTAATATGGAAGTATAAACATTAAAAATAAAATAAAATAATATAAGATAGCGAATCATATAGCGACACTTGTCAGGCTCACATTGAGGCGCTTCTCTTTTAGTATAGTAAATAGATAGATAGATAGATAGATAGATAGATAGATGTGCTCCAATTTTAATCAATAAACCTATACTAAAGACGAATCTCAAATAACATGTGTCACTTTATGGTGAAATAATTTCCCGCCTAATTTTACTTTCCAAAAATTTTCTTTTTATTACAATTGTTACTAAATCTTACCAAAACTTAAATTATCATAATTTTCAAGGAAAAGTATATACCCGATATTTCATCAACTATTATAGCAATAATTTTCCTTTTTTATATTACAACAAATCTAAAGTTGGAAAAACATTATTCAATAAATCAATGATTGATGAAATTCTTATTAATCAACGAATAAGGAAAATGTTAGTACTACAAATTCTTGCAAAAAAAAAAAAGAAAAAAGAAAAAGAAAATGTATAAACCAAAATTATTTTTAAAAAAAAAATATTATACATAATAATTTCTTATAAAATTAATGTTAGTACTACAAATTCAAAAAGCAAGACATATTTATGTGTAAATTAATTTTATTAAAGTTTAATTAGGATAATTTTTAAATTAATAAGTTAAATAAAGATATTACTACTATTCGTGCATGCACGGGATTTATACTAGTTACTTAATAAAATCCAAATGAAAGTGAGGGATAACACAAGTGGTTAGAGCTTCCCTCCCGATTTTGGGAGGTTTTGGAATCGATTCTCACCCACCCTTGTGGCTCTCTAAATACCAAAAAAAAAAAAAAAATGATACGAATAAAAATGATTGATTGCAATATTGAGTCGTAAAAATGACTTACATCTAAATTCAAAAGAAAAAGAAAAAGAAAAAAAAAAGTTTTTTGGCGGGAAATATCATATGGCGTATAAAGGACAGTGGGAAAGAGAATAATTGGAGAAATTCAGTGAAGCCTATTCCCAATATTCACAAAGTTTGATCATTTGTTCTTCATATTTTCGGGAGAAACAAGTTTTGCGATCAAGTAATTCTACTAATCTCTTCTTCAATTACTATTTTAATTATCGTTCTTATAATCGCGTTGCATTTGAACGAATTTTTTAATCAAACTTTTTTTTTTTTACTTGATCATCTCTTATTTATTTTATTGATCTGAGAGAATAATTAACTGTATTTGTGCAATTTGTTGATTATTATATTTTGTTACTGCTATATGCTTGTATACCTAAATCTAATCGTAGGAAAAAAAAAAAAAAAGTAAAAAATAATTTCTAATGTAAAACCCTAATAAAATTATTGAATTTGGTTGTAGTTGATTACGAATCTTAGTATACTTTTAATTTCGCAACCATGTCGAGGGTTGATGCACACATTTTTGGGGTTTTTTTTAATTTATTTTTTTATTTTTTTATTTTATTTTTTTAATTTTATGGTTGTTTGGACTAGTGCGTTATGAAATTGTAAGTACATTTATAACATTTTATGGAAAATTAGGATTTTATTTATAGGTTTCTTCAAAAAAAAAAAAAAAAAAAGGATTTTATTTATAGGAAATTAGATAGGAAATAAATTAATGAGATTCGAATTCTGAGTTGAGTCTATGAGATGGGGAGCTGTGGTTTTACTGCCTCGATTGTACATTTGTACCTTTAGAATGTCTTTGTATAATCGTATGTAGATTGTAGAGGAAAGTGCACGGGTTGAATGTAATTTTAGGGAATGATTTCTAATTATGACGGACAAAATACATTTGGACTACCTCATTGTTACATGCCTCGAGCATATTGTGTTGATATGGAATTTTCTATGTGTGTAGAAGAAAATAGTATCCAACATTAGAAGATTGGGAACAATGTAACATTTAGTGTGTATTAGTATAGATCTTCATTTGACTTTTATGTGGATCGTCTCGATCTCCTCTTGTCATGAGCCTTTATGTGTGGGCAATTTGTAGCAGGACAATAAGGCATAAATGGTTCTTTGCTGAAATTTATTTTATTGGATTAATGTGTGTACAATTTAAACATTATAGCAGTGAAACATGACATCCTAATGAGTAATGACCTGCTCACATAAGCAGCTTTTGGTTCATTTCGATGGAAATTGTTTAATCAATCATATTGGTATAATGTTTGATAACGGTTTCATACATACATGTTGTGTAGAAAAAGATGTACCTTTAAGGATTTAAGCAGCTTGAGGATTTAGTCCTTGCAGGCTCATGGCAGTATGTCGAAACTATCAACATTTCTTGCCCTTGGGTAACCAGTTCGACCATAGAACTAGTGTTGTGCTCGATCTTCCCAATTTGCTGCATTTTAAGTATGTGGATTACTTGGCTGAAAATTACTGCATAAAGAATATGAACTCTCTTAAGGAAGCTCATATTGACATTTCATTGGACATAGATAATTCAGATTGGTCTACTTTCAGGGATTCAGTTTTAGGACTCTTAAATGGAATCTCTTGTGCCAAGCGTCTGTACTTGTCCGGCAATTGCATGGAGGTGGCTCTCTTCTACCATCTTAAGCCTATTCTCTTTTCCCTGCATTCTTTACAATGTGTTGTTGATGTCTAATTCTAATTTTACGCTCTTTGATGGATTATTACTTTTTTTTTTTTTTTTTTGACAATAATCTTTATTTCAAAATGATCTTATCCATTAGTCCTTCATTATCATAACTAAAACATGATGGACTGGTACTCTGGTGGATTTAGGGGTTATATAATACAGGATGACTATAGGGAATATATTGTTTGTTCTCGAGAATTTTTTTTTTTTTTTTTATTTTTTTTTTAAAGACAACAGCAAAAAATTAATTTAGGGTGCAGAAACTATCTAATACAACCTAAAATTTGTGAGAAAATACATAATAAAAAATATTGTTAGAAACTACCTTATAAAACGTAAAATGTTATAAGGTACTACCATTGGCCAAATTTCCACCATTAATCCAATTTTAAGGTGTTGACCTACCTTTAAACACCTCTGAAACCACCATAAAGGTGGTAAGGTTATTTTTGGGGGTGGTTAGAAGATCTTCCGAGTTGGTGAGGGTAGTTTAATTTCGTGATTCGAGACGTTGATTTTTGGGGTTAGAGGTGGTGATTTTGGAATTGGAGGGTGGTTTTGGCTTGGTGAAGGCAATTTCAAGTAGGCTGTGTTGGCTTTAGGGTGAAAATGGTGGTTTTGGGGGTGTTTTGAGGTGGGTCAATAATGGTGGATTTCCGATGGAGGTAGTATTTTACAACAATTAACATTTAGTTAGGTAGTTTTTTACAACATTTTACCTTTTATTAGGTAGTTTTTTACAATATTTTTTTATTAGGTAATTTCTCACAAAATCTGAAGTTCATTAGGCAGTTTTTGACAAAAAAAGTCCATTAATTTATAAATCAAGTTTCACCTAAGATTGAACTTTTGGGGAATAAGTTCACAGGTCTAATTCTGCATGTAGCCATATAGCAATACACTTGCACAAATAACACAATTTCACATTCCTCTACATTTTATTAAGGAAAACAAAGATATTTTTATTGTCAAATTATTTATACTTTCTTTATATATTTCTTGTAATAAAATAATAGTGCATAGAGCAATATTATTCAACATGTTATAAGTAGAATATAAAATAGGTCATACTTCTAATTTATTGAATGTTTGTACTTCTAAGGTCCTGGGTTTTTATTCACTTGTAACGCACCTGTTTAGCATACATTTTAATGAGATATTAAAATAGGTAAATGGATAAATCAATTAATAACTATATGCTAAAAGACATACCAGTAATGACATGTGTCATCTCCCAAATATATATATATATATATATATATATATATATATATATAATAATTAAGTCACAATCTTTATTTTCTTTTAAACTTTTTATTTCTTAAGTTACAATAATGTCCCTCAAAAGAAAGGGTTTATCTCCTTCGAAAGATAAGTTTTTTCGATCTCTTTCAAAAGATGATCGAAAGACTTGGTTTTTCGAACCCCTTCAAAAAAACAAGGTTTGATCTATGTTCAATTTGGTCTCGGGTTGTGCGGGGCTACGATTGATTATCAATTTACTCTGATAACCAACTTTGATTTCGATGAGACACTCGTGTTTTCTTCTGGAAATTCAGTGCCTTGGTATCATGATCTGTCAGAGTCGAAATTACATAGCCTGTATGAAAAATATTTAAAAGGACACAGCACATTCAAGTATTTTGTGGATCGAGTTCTGATGCTTTGCAAGCGCACACACATCAACAAATTTCGCCTTAACTGTGTTCAGTCATATGATTCTAATCGTATTAAAAGATGGATAGAGTTTGCATTACTTAAAGGTGTTTCAGAGCTTGATGTCTTCAACTCTCAGTTCAATTCAAGTGTTACACAACAAATTTTCGTGTGTGCAACATTGGTGGTGCTGAAGTTACCTGGAAAATTCGAAATGAAATTACCTGAATCTTACTTTTTGCCAAATCTGAAGTTCCTGCAACTTAAGTCTGGCTGTTTCCCGAAGAACTTCCCTTTGAACAGGCTGATGTCTGTCTGTCCGATGCTGGAAGATTTGGTCCTTGGAGGCAGATGGGGAGATGATGTCAAAGTTATTAACATTTCTTCTCCTACTTTGATAAATTTGACCATGAATTTTATCACCACTAGTAATTATGACCGGCCTAGGACTGATGTTTTGCTCGATCTTCCCAATCTGCTATATTTCAATTATGAGGATATCTTGGCCATACATTACAGCATGAATTTAAATTCTCTTGTGGATGCTCGTATCAGAACAGCATTGACGGGAAGAAGATATGATCCTGATGATGAATCTCCGCAGAATTTCAGTGATTCTATGATAGAATTGTTAAAAGGAGTCTCTAGTGCCAAACATCTATACCTCTCTGGAGGTTTGCAGGTAGCTCTTTAAGTTCCCGCTATTGGTTTTGGATTATGATTTTTCTATTAATTTTTTATATCAATGTAAATTCTTAAGAATCTCAACGTGTTTTCTTTGATGGTTGTATGTAGGCTCTAAGTTTTGGTGAAGATAAGCTTCCGAGCTTCCATCTTGGTGAATATAAGCGGTTTCCGAGCTTCAATCACCTGTCCTGCTTAGACATAGATTTGAGTAGCCAATGTGGTATTTGGGAACACTTCCTGCTGGCTTTTCTGCACAGCTCTCCCATGCTTGAGAATCTTGTGATTCCTGGGGTTAGTACATTTATCTCTTCTGCATAAATCATCCGTTATTTTAATTGTACTACCTCTGTCTGGTTATGTGCAACGATTTGACATAAAGCAGAGAGGGAAAATGTCTAATCGTTGCACATAACCTATAACAGAGGTAACATTTGTTTTCCTAATTTTCTTCCACTCTATCAACTTTTTCAGGGACTCCCAGCCAGCTCATTTATTTATGTGTCGAAATCGAAATCAAAATCGAGATCGAAGATATGCTTCTGGGATGGTTTGAAAACACCGCCTTCTTGTCTTTCCTCTCACCTTAAGACTATTACCATAGGTTCATTTCATGCCCAGGAGTATGAAGAGCTGGGTGTAACAAAGTATTTTCTCAAGTATGGGAAAGTGCTGACAAAGCTGATATTATACTGTAAATTGAAATCGGAAAAGGAGTATACAGAGTTAAAGCAGCTGTTTAAGATAGGAAGGTTAGCCTCCAAGAAATGTTCACTTGATTTGCTGAATGATGATACAACATAGAATAATCTTTGCAGCCCTACATTGTCGTCGGTTTGGTTCGTCTTTTTTGTCAACAGCAGCTTCAATTAGTTATTGCATATGGTGCAGGTGAACCTTAGTTTCCATTAATATGGATGCTTATTTCGAACTTATGGACAAATAGTGCATTTCTTATAGTATTAAGTTGGTATTATGAACTTCTGCATCTAGGTGAAGGTGAGCTAATTTTTCGAGTTTACTAGTAGTGACTAATGATTTAAATGTTCTATGGCTTTTGATGTATGGCTTTAATGTTGTGGTGTGAAGTAGTGCCGATTTTGCCTTGTTTAAGCTCCTATATCTTTCTTATCTATTTATGAAGTTGTAATCTATGGTTTGATCTTATGGTTCTGCAAAGAACAACCTTTTGTTGAGTAGATATTGAACACAATTATACACATTTGTGGGAGTGTCACAAGTTCAGACGCTTTGTGAACTACTCCCTCCGTTTTTAAATACTTGCTCCACTTTTCTTTTTCGACCGTTTTTAAATACTTGTTCCATTTCCTTATTTGGAAAGCTTTAACAATATTTAATTAATTTCTCTCACCTAGTGAACCCACCATTAATCATATTTTATTAATTTCATGTTATCTTTCCTCCAATTCTGTCAACTGCTTTTGTTTTTACAATTTTTTAATTCTTCCACTTACCCCACTACCTTTATATTTTATTACTTTCTCCAATTTCTCCTAAAACTCCGTGCACGGAGAAATGTAGCAAGTATTTAAAAACGGATGGAGTACTTTGTATATTTGAGGACCTTCAAGGGGTCACTGAAGGTCCAACATATACAAGTAATTTACCCGTGGTCGTGCATGATTATGTATCCTTCCCATATACTTCTATTGTTACTAAGACTTATAGGTGGCCATTGAATGACCAATGACCTGGTCATGAGGAGAAAAAAAGAACTTTTTATATTAATAAAATGGAAGAAAGAAAAAAAAAGGGATAAGAGAAGTTGATGACCAGGTCTTTGTAATGACAAGATAAAATTTTGGTCATGAATATATTAATTGACAAGTGGCTACATATTATTGGAAGAAAGAAATGGGTATCTGTATGGTAAAGTAAGAGAGAGAAAATCATGACCAAAATTATTTTGGGCAACCATTGGGAGTCTTTGGTCATGATTGGTCATGTTACTTGGTCATGGATGAGTAGAAAGTGAAAGAAATTATATAATAATCCATGATCAAGAATTTTGGGTCATCCATTGGGTATACTCTTAGGGGACTCTACACGTTTTGGGTCATCCACTAAAGAAAGACCCTGATCGGGTCAAAACACTTTGAGAGTGAGGGGGAAAGAGTAAAGGATCCCCACCCTCATATTGTCTGTAGTGGGGATTGAACCTCCAAATTCAAGGTTGGAAGGTGCAACCTTTACCATTAGACCAAACTTAGCTTGGTAACACGTTAGGAATTGGGTCATACATTTCAACACACTATTTTAATACGAGTATTCAATATGAAGTACTTTCAATTATTTACATTAGAAATGAGTATATATATATATATATATATATATATATATATATATATATATATATATATATATATATATATATATATAAAATACGATGAATCTAGTAAGATTTTGATCAATAATATTTTTTTGGGTTAAAAATCACAATTAATTATCATAGGCACATACTCCCTCTAACCCTCTGTCTCATAATATAAATATATAATGCCTCTTTTTCTTTTTAGGTGAACAAAAATACAAAATAAAATTTAGATAATTAAATTTTTTTTTTTCAAATGATTACAACAAACACTTATAAGGCTATAATTTTTCTTATATTCTCCGTACAATTCACAAGCATTTGTCAAAATAGGTCTACTAAATAGTGCCAAAACTCTCAATAAAACGTTTACAAAAAACAGAGGAAGTAGTAAAGTACGGAGTACTCCGTTATACTTAAAAAAAAAAAAAAAAACCAATTACGGTATATAAGATCTCACTTAATTATTAAAGCTTAAACAAGATTTTTTAAAAAAAGGGAGAAAGTATTAATTAAAGAACAACATCTGTAAATAACGGTCCTAATAATATTCCCACAAACTCTTAATAACATCCGGTTTACACTAAATTAGTGTAAATCAGGCTGGCTGGGCAACTTCATCACCGAGAAAAACACCCTCGCCACTCCCTTAGCTTCTCCCAAGAATCCGGCGTCCCCCTCCGATTTCGACCTTGCTGATCACCCCAATCTCCCGATTCCAGCGCCACTGACCTCCCCCCATCCCCCGATTTGTCGAGTTTGAAGTCCGGGATTACAACAACTCCGAATACCTCGACCCCAATTGCATATATACCTTATTGTGGGTATCTATCATTTCACCTCATCGACTTTAATGGTGGAAAACATGGCGGCAGCAGAGGTGGCGATGACTATGGCGGCAGAGGTGACAATGAAGACAACGTTGAATGAAAATATATGAGGACTTGCAGTTGGTAACGGAGAGGGAGAAGGGGGTTGAGGGTTTGATGGAGGAGAGAGAATTTGAAGGTTTGTTAATGGTGGAAATGTTTAGTTTTGAGGAGAGATAAAGATACCGGATGAAAGTAGAGCCATTGGGTTAACTTTTGCATTTTGTGTTTATTTATTTATTTTTTTATTTTGATACTCTGTTTTTGTGAAAAAAAAAAGGTCACTTTTGTGAAATGTGGGATTATTTTTATGACTTATGGCGAATTTCTTTGGTTTCTTTTGGTGTTTTGTTAATTTACTTTTTAATGTTTTGAGTATGTGGCATGAACTTTTGTGAAAATGGGTCTCTTTTGTAAAAAAAAAAAAAAAAAGGGTTACTTTTGTGAAAATATGGGTCACTTTTGTAATAAAAATGGTCACTTTTGTAAAGAAAATGGTCACTTTTATAAGGAAAAAGGGTCACTTTTCGCAAAAATATTCGATGTACAATAAAATTATTGTAAATTGGGGGCATGCAAAAAGAGTTGTAATATTCCTATATCCTACTTATAACTTTATAAGTGCAATTTTGGAATTTAAGTACTACTCGTATTATCTTGTCAAAAAAGTACTACTCGTATTAGGGACTGGGGCCACTGGGCCAGGTGTGCTACTTAAGTCGAATCTGGATATAATCCAAGCTTAAAATCTGGGGAATCGGGTGGATATCCATAAAAAAAAATAATATTAGGGACTGGGAGGAGCCGTGGAGAGCAAGTACTGTCGTAGAGTAGATGTTTAGAGTGTAGGCTTTGACTTTAGTCACTTTGCTGTCAGAACATGCTTGAACCCTCTGTTCATTTAATTTCATAAAAAAAAAAAAAAAAAAAAAAAAAAACATAAAATAAAAACAAAACGGAGTACAGTATATGAAAAGGTGGAGAGAGACTGAGTTAAAAGTGTTTTAAGCTTATGCTGTTCATCTTTCAGAAGAAAGCTAGCTTATGGGAAATTCAGTAATGTTTCTTATCCTTTTTCTTCTTTAATTGTCTATATATTCATGCTTTGCTTTCTTCTGTTTCTTGTTTAATTTTATCTTTTGCATTGTACATTTCATTTCTGTCACAAAAAAATATTTTTATTAAAAAATAAATAAATAAAACTGAGATATATTGTGAATTTTTTTTTCTCTGTTGAGGTTTTGAGTGTATTAACTTTTTTTTTTTTTGTTTTTTTTTTTTGAAAAAGAGTGTACATATAACTTTGTTGAGAACTTGAGATGTATCATGTATAGTATTGATGTTACAAAAAATTCTTGTTTTTTTTTTTTTTTTTTTTTTTTTTTTCTTTTGGTCTTTTTATTACTCATCTTAAAAGGATACTACTTCTGAATTTCTGATCTTAGTCTCTAAGGGCCTAAGGCCATAATTAAATTTAGTGTAATACTACCAAAATATTTCAAAGTTGCAACTAAAAAAATCGAAGTAGTACGTTATAAGGGTACAAATTATATGGAGTAATAAATTGATATAATGAAATTATACTACATGACGAATTTGACAAGAACCTACGTGAATATATTCCGTATTTTTTTTGAACATGTAAATATGTGGTCAAGATTGCGTCAATAGAACAAGAATGGAGGAAGTATCTTTAAATGGGAAGCAGAGAAAAGGATATACGAGTACACAATAGTTAGGAAAAAAATTGTTTTCCATCCTATAATAAATTGATGAAAATTATTTCTCCAAAGCAAACACAGCTGCTATTTGTGCAGAAAATTCAATACTTCCTCCGTTCCAATAGTATTGCAACAAGGATGAAATTACGCATCACAAAACACATTTTATATATTCAATATCTATATTTGTGTAAGAGTAAAAATTATAAAAAGTTGATATTATAAAAGTATTTTATGAAACGAATCTAACAAGATTTCACATGATTATATTATGCTTAATGTATTTATCATATTATACGGTCAAATAAGAGTGATGAATAGTGCAAAAAGTTCATTGTTGTAATATTAATAAAACGGAGGAAGTATTATTTTAAAGATAGAATGGGGCTAGGGGCTAGCTCCTATTTGTGTTTGTTAAAATTTAGTTTTATACTCTCTTTAATCAAAATCTTTTCCAGGTGGTGGACCATTGGCCCATTGTATTGTTTATGGGAGATGAATATCTTTAGTCTATACAACCTTAATTAGGCTAAATTTTCATAATATTTGATGTAATTATAGCACTTTCATCGTCTAATTTTGCACAATTGGGCTTTCTGTAACACCATTTGATGGATGTCATGAAGAGTATGTGCTAAAGTGTCCCTTGATTATAATACTTGATATTAGGGGCAAATCTTTGACCTCCCTAAGTATTTTTGAATTGTTATTATAAGTTTTATAATACTTACATATAAAAAGTTGTGACATATTGATTAAGTATTCTTGTTTTTGAGCAAAAGGTTGGAGGATCAAATTTTGTCCCCAAACTTTTTAGCCCAAGGTCCTCCACTGTTTGATATGTTTTTTCCATGTATTATTTCATTAAATAAACACATTATAGTAAATTTGGTTTGTATGGAGTAGATCTTCTTCCAAGTATAAAACACATCACGGTAATTTTGGTTTGTATGGAGTAGATCCTCTTCCGAGTATGACATCATGGACAAATGGGAACATCTGTTAGGAGCTGAAGAAGTAGCTAACTACGAGTACCTAATATGTGAAATGTGCATAACACATAGTATCAAATTTTCGTAATCTAGATAGTAATAGTATTTTAATCCTTTTATTGAAAAGTTAACTTGATTAGAGTTTCATGCATACATGTACTGAAAGAGTTGGTTATTGCTTCATTGTGTACCGTACAATTAAACCTTTAGATTATACAATCATGATTTTCTTACATGGTATAATCTATCATATTTGAGATAACTTCCTGTATATTTGAATAGTATTCGTAGCATCTTTTGCAGTTTTGCAAATTAGCCGCAAAGTCATCTGCATATCGAGCTTAGAAAACCATGTAGGATCATATAGCAGATATAGTGTAATATTCTTATACATTGCTAGATTCTGTTGAGTATCGAGTTGTTCTTTGCGTGTAATTAAGTAACCTTATGCAATTAAGTATACCTAAGTGATTTATCGATGCTGTTGTTTGTCTGATGAAGTAAAAGTATCTTGCAGCCCATAGATGAAGGGGTTGACAGGATCAGTGGTTTACCAGACAATATTCTCGGGCACATACTCTCTTTTCTTCCAACAAAGAATGCAGTCGGAACTAGTGTTTTATCACACAGATGGAAGTATCTTTTTACTCTAATAACCAACTTTGATTTCGATGAGAGAGACTTGTTTTCTTCTAGAGGTGGCTTTCGTTCTCAGTATTCGAATGGGTCTGGCACATTCAAGATTTTGGTGAATCGAACTCTGATGCTCTGCAAGGCCACAAAGATCAACAAATTTCGCGTTAAATGTGCTAGGGATTCTGACTGCTCAAATGTTAATAGTTGGATAGAGTTTGCATTACTTAGAGGTGTTTCAGAGCTCAGTGTCTCCACACATCAGTTTGAGTCAAGTGCACTTCCACGACAACTTTTCTTCTGTGAAACACTGGTGGTGCTGAAGTTAAGTGGAAGATTCGAGATAAAATTACATGAATCTCACATTTTGCCTCATCTGAAGTTCCTGCAACTCAAGTCAAGTTCTGTCAAATTTGCGGATAACTGCTCTTTGAACAGGCTGATTTCTGGCTGTCCAATGCTGGAGGACATGGTCCTTAAAGGAAGTTGGGAAGATTTCTCAACTATAAACATTTCATCTCCTACTCTGAGAAGTTTGACCTTGAATTTCAGAGAAGTATTTATGGATGGCAAACATAGAACTAATGTTGTGCTTGATCTTCCAAATCTGCTTCATTTTAAGTATGTGGATTACTTGGCAATACATTACAGCATGAATTTCAATTCTCTTGTGGATGCTCGTATTGACATATCGTTGGACTTAGAAAACTTGTTGGAAGTATCCGAGGTTTTCTGTGATTCTATGATAGAACTCTTACATGGAGTCTCTAGTGCTGAGCATTTATACCTCGATGGAAAATGCATGGAGGTAGCTCTTTTAACTCTTTTCTTATTTGTGTTATGGTCAATGAGAATTCTTATTTATTTTCTTTGATGGGTGTATGTAGGCTCTGAGTTGTGGTGATCAATTTAAGCTTCCAACCTTCAATAGGCTTATTTGCTTAATCATAGATTGGATTGGATATGCTAACTGGAGACGTGTCCTGCCTGAGTTTCTGCACAGCTCACCCGTGCTTGATTGTCTTGTCTTTCCCGGGGTTGGTACATTTCTTCTGCTAATATCATGCAACATAAAAATATGAATTTGTTTTGCTTAATTTTCTTCCATTCTGTCAACTTGTTTAGGGACTCCTACATCGTGCAGATGATGATGACTATGATGACAAATACTTCTGGGGCAGATTGCGAAAACCACCTCCTTGTCTTTCCACTCACCTCAAGATTATTTTCATAGATAAATTTCATGGCGAGTTTGATGAAGAGCTGAAGATAGCAAAGTATCTTATACGGAAGGGGAAGGTTCTAACAAAGCTGATGTTAGGCTTGAGAATGAAATCAGAGAAAGGATGTAAGGAAATACAGAAGTTGATGAAGGAAGGTTAGCCTCCGGGGAATGCTCACTTGTTGTTGTAACAGACGACTAGTCTTTGTAGTTCCTCCATTGTTGTTGGTTCGTCTTTTTTTTTTTTGTCAACAGCAGCTTCAGTTAGTTACCAAGTGCAGGTGCTATAATGATCTGATGACTAATATTTTGAGTTCTTGCATCCGATGCAGGTGAACCTGAGTTTCCATTAGTATGGATGCTTATTTTGAACTTTAGACAAATTTGTATTTCTTATTGTATGCTGTTGGTTTTATGAACTTCTGTGTCTAGCTAGAGGCGAGCCTTAGTCTTTCGAGTCTGCTGCTAACTAATGATATATTGATATGAATGTCCTATGACTTTTGACATATGCCTATATTCTTGTGATGATGTGAAGTAGCACAGTTTTTGCCATCTATCTAATCTCTTAATGAGTTGTTAGTCAAGCAATATACCATTTGAAAGGGTAACAAGGCTTGCAAGGCTGCAAATGCAAGGTTCTAACACGGAACGACTAGGATGTAGGAATATTTCATATCCTTCCATAGATTATAGACAACTCCTTTGAAACCTTCATGCCTAGAATTTGTCAATCCCTGTTTCTGACTGACTTAAGACAATTGTTACCATTGCATCCCATGTTGTGCAGTCTAAAATCTCAACATGCCCTAGTATATGTCAATTCGCCTCTTTGTCAAGTCTTCAATGCTAAAATGTCTTAAACAATCTTATATACATTTGTGCTACTATATTGTTTGATCTAAATCGGATTAGTCCTATTGTTTCATAGTTGATCATCCTGATTCTCTATGTCATTAAATAGTATATTGTTTCATAGTTGATCAAAGTATATTTAATATATGAAAACATTAAACAGTCATTACATCAACATTAAGTTTTGCCTGTTCTATAGAGTACTTTGCTAGTGACAGTTGTACAATAATAACATAGTTCTGATTTTTGTACTTGATGATAACTCTAAGACTTAATAAAGTAGTACTATTTCCAATTTTAAAAATTCTGTCTAAATTTAGTTGACACAAAATTGATTTAAATTCAATATCAATGTGATAGTTAATTTATAAAAATTCAACGTGATAGTTAATTTATGAATGTGGTCGAGAGCTCTTTACTTAAACAAATAACTGTGTGACATGTGATTATGTGAACATGTAAGGTGAAAGAGCATCTCATCCATATACATCCCATTGACCAGTGGTGTTAGCTATATCTACAAAGTCAAAGTAAACACTCTTGTCTCCATAAGCAACCACTGCACCACTCCTTTATGATACCATAAAATTACCATTTACTCAACATAAGCAATCATAATTATAGTGTACTGTATAAAACTCATATAAACGGATCGGATGCGGGTGATGGGTTAGGTGAGTAACGGGTGGATGCAGGTGAAGTTTCATCCAACCTGATTTTGATTTTTTTTTTAATTAAAAAAAAAAAAAAAAAACCAATAATATGTACGGTCAAAAGCCTAGTTTTACTCAAAATATCACCTTTTCGGAATTCCAAAAAAGGAAACCTCTTGGCCAGATTTTTTTCTCTCCTCCATTTCTTCACTCAGAGAGTGAGAATTCTCAGAACGAAAATGGCAACGACGTCGTATTTCTCATCAATACTACTCAGTAGTGTAACTTCTAGTTCCCTCAATTCAACTCATTGGAAAAGGGTAATTTCTCCGGTTGAATGCGGTTCAATTTCGGGTCGAAATGGGCCAATTCGACTCAAAACTGGTTCCGGGTCATCAACTCGGAGATTGGCTAAGGTTGAAGACAGAGGAGAAATATTGGAGAGTAATTGTGGGTTTCTGGTAGATGTTGTTGATGATGTTAATAATGATGATGATGAACAATCTTTTGTTGATTCTTCTAAACACGAGGTAATTTCTTGATTGTAATATTATGTGTTTCTGTAATAGTTGTAATGTAATGTAATACGGTTGATTTTGATAATGTAATGCGACAACTGAATCCAAAAATGAGGTAGTAGTTGGATAATTGATGGTTTGATGACGATCTTTGTTTTGTGTTTGGTTATTATTTACTTTGGTAGAATTGTTTGAATGAGAATAGAGTTGAGTAGTTCAAATTTGGTTTTGATTGCAATTGGAATTGTTGTTGGGAGATATATGAAATTATTGGTAAATTGTGTGTTTAGTCTTTTGAAAATGTTCATAATAAGATCAAAACAAGTACTCTTTCCATTTGGATTTAATAGTCGATTTGATAGTGAATGTGGAGATATTTGGTTTGTTGGGAGAATATGATAATTGGGTTTGTAAATGAGGTGTTGTTATCTTGGGTTTGATCTTGATGTATCCTAGTATAATATCATTAGTTGACATTTGATGATTGATGGAGGGAGTTATAAAATGACATAAAGAAAATGGGTTTGCAAGAGCATGTAGGATTAGATTGAAGGGAAAGTAGGAGGGACGTTATGTGGGGATCACAGGGTATATGATCTTGGTTTATGTAGCTGACCCCGTCTTTTTGAATAATAAGGCTTTCATTTTGTTGCAATGAAGAGTTTTCCTAGCACAATAGAGGTATATAGTTAGAAGAATGTGATAAAATGACAACCATTTGGATCGTAGTGATATTTGAAAAAGAAATTCAAGATTTGGGAGGTGAGTTTCTTTCTTTGTGCTTGACCAAGGTTACACTGGATAACATAGCAATGTACTTTTAATATTCTGATGATGTATCGGTTGGATGCATTACTCCCCTTTTGGTGTTTATTAAAACTTTATGATGATATAGTGAAATTGCTTGTCATTTATGGATTTGTTTTTCTACTATAAACCCCCTTCATAATGGAGTGAGTATATTCCAGTAAAAGAGATTAGATTATCTTTATCGAGTACTGAATTGTAGCCTAACAACTCTTCATCAGATATAGTATTTTTTCTTGTTTCCCGTTAGATTATCATGTGAAGCACCTTGCCATTTTGTAAAGTCCTTTGAAGTGTATTCTGTATTTCTGTTCATCTTCTATACAAAGTACATCATAGTCTGACAACTTTTCAACTGGTTCTCGAATCTAATTTTCTTGAATATATAATTCATGCTTTCAGGTTGCAGAGATAATCCCAGAGATTCCAGAACGTGATTATGCTGGAACACCTTATGTCCCTATTTATGTGATGTTGCCAGTAAGTTTGATTTGTCTTTATTTTATATATCTCCGAATACTTTGTGTTTCCTTCATTGCTCAACCACCTTATTAGTCTCCCTAACCCCTAGTCCCTTGTTGCACTTGCATGTAAGCTTCTATTATTTTTATCACTTAATGTTATTGTTTAATTTACCTTTAGTTCATACTTTCTCTTGTAACAGTTAAATACAATTGACATGAACTGTGAGCTGGTTAATCCACAAAACCTCATCGAGCAACTAAAAATATTAAAGTCGATTAATGTTGATGGTGTTATGGTTGATTGTTGGTGGGGCATAGTTGAGGCACTTGCTCCTCAAAAATATAACTGGAGTGGTTACAAGGAACTGTTTCAAATTGTGCGTGATTTTGGACTTAAATTGCAGGTATTCTATCTTTCTGTGCTCTTGTGTGGTTATGTACTATGAAGGATTTTTCAAGCTTCATTTTTGACTTTATGATACTTCATATTGGTGTTTAAGACTAGTGGAATTCTAATGGCTTGTCATGGTTACACTTCAGTGCGTCACAAGTCTTTAGATACATATCATGAAGCAATATTCTGTCTGGAGTAAAATAATGATTTTTTAGGTTGACAAATGCACTGCAATTTTTATGGACTTGATGAATCGTGTATTTCAACCTTTCTTAGACCAATTTGTGGTGGTGTTTATTGATGACATATTGGTTTATTCAAAGAACAAAGAGGACCATGCAGAGCATTTGAGAGCGGTGCTAGCTACTTTAAGGGCTAACATTCGAGCTAGTATTGTTCTTGTGTTAACTATACTTGTGCTAGTTTGGCAACCTTGCAATGAATTCATTGCCATCTTAAATGATGGTTGTTTTTAAAATGAAAACTTTATCTCAGATCATGAAATACCTATTTCCAAGAGATTAGGAGTAACTGTGTCATCTTCTCTGGAATAATTTTTGGCTCAGGAATGTACAAAATAGAAAGACTAGTAATAAATGACATACAACGAGAAATCTTATTTAATCAATAGGTTTTGGACTAAGTCTAGGTTTTTATAACATCATTAAAGGATTTGTGTTCAGATTTTTTTTACACCTTATCATGAATTTTACTTGTAGAATCTCAAATGGTTGTTCTATTATAGGTTGTTATGTCTTTTCATGCATGTGGAGGCAATGTTGGGGATGATGTTAATATTCCTCTCCCTCATTGGATCACAGAAATCGGTCAAACTAATCCTGATATATATTTCACGGATAAAGAAGGCAAACGCAATACCGAAAGCCTTTCTTGGGGAATAGACAAAGAGCGTGTTTTAAGAGGCCGTACAGCAGTTGAGGTATCAGAATTTATGAATATTTTAATGGCAGTTTGCTTCTGTATTTGTTCATCTGTTTGTACAATACGTGCACTTTTATTCCTTTTTTAGGGTTTGGATGGAAAATATTTTTTGGTAATCTTTCTATAGCCCAAACTTAGTTACGATCTCATGAAAATTGCATCACAAAATACTATGTTAATTAAAATACATAGTCTACTATGGACTCTCTAGTTTGGATGGGTTTGTGAATCTTTTTTTTGAAATTCTTCTGGATGACACGACAGGTTTACTATGATTACATGAGAAGCTTCCGTGCGGAATTCAATGAGTTTTTTGAAAGTGGAACCATCTCGGAGATTGAGGTTGGACTAGGTCCATGTGGGGAGCTACGTTATCCATCCTATCCTGCAAATCAGGGCTGGAAATATCCAGGCATTGGTGAATTCCAGGTAATAACCTATCTGCATACTGTAAATAGTTTTCTGCATAGCTGCATATAGTTGAAAGTTCTCATAGATTCCAAATACTCCCCCGTCCTAACCGTTTCTGAATGCTTCAACGGTTGCAACACGTGCAAAGGACATATATATATATATATATATATATATATATATATATTGAGAGAAGAAATTTAATAAATAGGATAATACAATTCATAGAGCAAAAGAAGTTGCTGCTAGGATATTCTTAAAAAGGATAATACAAAGCATGGTATATACTGCAGAAACTTGACATGAATTAAAACTTACCTTCTGCAGTGTTATGACAAATATCTAATGAAGAGTCTTCAGAAGGCAGCTGAAGTAAGGGGACATGTGTCTTGGGGTAGAGCACCTGATAATTCAGGTTCTTATAATTCTTGGCCACATAAGACAGGTTTTTTTCGTGATGGTGGT